GACTGTATCCTACAGATTTAGGACTCATTAGGGGATGCAAGGGAAGAATCGCTCTAGGATATGAAATAAAACGACGCAGACACTGAACTCTCCAAGGTAAAAAAGAGGGAAAGTTTAATTCTGACTCCAACATTTATAGATTTCCAGAAGTGACAGTGAATTGGAGGATGACAGTGCCACCTCTCCAATGGCACTGGACAAACCAACAGTTCATCAAATTTCTGCTCCTCCATAGAAGAATGCAAAACAATAAGTTATTTACAGAAAATGTGTGAGAAAGTTCGTTACAAGAATGTAAACACCAGAAAGCTTAGAAAAACTTAAAAAACCAGGGCGACAGAAGAGCATCTCAGGATTGCATAGCACTCCTCGTGGGACGCTTAGAGAAAGAATCAGGCAAAGAAAGGGATAGATCTAGGTGATTTAGGAAGGAATAGGTAAGATAAATAGATGGATAAGGGGATAGAAAGAACCAGTTGGTGTGAGGGAGTGACCAGGATTACTGTCCCCTAGAGCAGACCAGCAGCCCTCATGTCAGTGGTGCCAGGAGGGAGGGACTGTGACAGTGTTAGTCACAATCCAGTTGGACTTCTTTTTGGGAAGGTGGTGTGCCCTGAGAGCCAGGGAGGGGGAGAGGATGGCTCATCCCTACTGGGAAAACCACAGCAGGAGCTGGGTTAGGCTGGGAATACACACTTGACCTCCCTTCACTTGGATCTGGGAGTGTGGAGTTGCATCAGCCTCGCCTCTCCTGGGCTGATGGATCTGGCCTGATTCCTCCAACATAAACACCAAATATTTCCCTCTGTGGGGGAGTGCTGTAGTCCCAGAGCAGCAGGTAAGTGGGGAGCAGCAGATGTAGTCACTGCCAGGCTTTATAGAATAACACTGCTCATTCTTTCTGACAAAAAAACACCCTTCAAAGAAAGATTATAGCCTTGAATCCTGAATGAATGCAAATACATTACTGGCAGAAAATTTCCAGTTAGTTTTTCTGTCCCTATAGTACCAGGGTACATAGTCCCTATTTTGAGATGCTGGCAAACTCCATGCATTGATGGAAAAGCAAAGGCTGGCAGAGGAGTTCTCTGGACCATTTATACTGATTTTGTAAATTCTGGAGCTGTGTTTCCAAAGCCAGGTACAGAGGACTTTAAGTGTTGGCACATCAATTAACTAAATTAAGTGCTTAAAAGAAACAACAACAACAACAAAAAAACCCAACTAATACATAAATACTGGCATAAGACTTGTTGTTATCTGCTGGAAGGGCTCCAGTGGTACAAATGTTATTTTCAAATCAGTGTAAATGGTCCAGAAAAGTCCTTTGCCCGCTAAGTTAAACAGCAGGCAAATGAAGATTTAAAACATGAGCTCTTCAGAGGCACTGGGCTCTCCTCAGGGCCCTGGGGAAGAATACTGATGGCATGATGCTCTGAAGATGATCTGTTCCCTGTTTTTTTAATCTGACCCCCACCCCACAGAGGAAAATCCTTTCTCTCTCTACTGCTTATGAATTTTATTTTCCAACCACACCTCTAGCCCTAGGAGAGCTATCACTGGAGCCTTGTGTTTTTCAAACAGTTGATGCACACATTATCTGAATTTCTTTAAAAGGAAGGGCTGCATAAGGGTGGGTCCCAAAGCTGCACATGAGAGAAAAGAATACGATGTGAAGAAAAATAAAACACAAGTGCACAGATGCACTCCTAGCAACGACTCTTACAGTAATATAACAGCAAACACTTGCCTTTCTGCCTGAAAGAACTAGGCTCTGTGCAGATGTTTATATTTACAAGATACAAGTCATTTCTTGCAGTCTTTCCTCAGAGACTTAGCATTAATGTATCTGGAGCTAGATTGGAATATAAATTATTTTCCACAGCAGTAAAAGTGACTTTAAAAATGCTTACCTTGAGGTTACATAATGATTTTCTACATTTTTAACAATGTGATTGACTCCTCCTGTATGTTTAACAGCAAATTTCCTAAGTGGAACACAAACCAAACTGTTTCTCAATATTTGAGCAAGACAGAACTGCCTCCAGAATGAGCCAGCATTTTTTAACCCTCAGAGAAACCAGCCACCAGGGAGATGCAAGAGCAATCTGGTCTGAGTTTACCTTTCAGCAGTTCCAGCATTGACAAATATAATCAGCTAAGTCAAAGGTTTAAGGCTGAACCTCCTTTGGAGCTGAGCAGGCTTACCCTAAGATGAAAAAATGTGGCTAGATTGAGGAAAAGAGGCAGATTTTTCCAGTGATTTGGAAATGCATAGATGTGTTTCATTGCTGTTTTAATCCTCATGTCTAAGTTTATAGCAAATTCAAGAGGATTCTGGGATGGAGAATTGCAAAGCCTCTTCCATGTCAGTGCTGCACCATTTATTTTCATGGAGACTGGATAACTCCACTGAAGATGGCTGCATGAGAAGCAGATGGATGCAGAAGGAGATTCCCCAAAAGACAGGGAACAGCAAGGAATGTGGGAGACATCACATGCCCTGGCCAAGGAAAATCAGGCCAGAAGTTAATCAGGGCCTATGCCAGTATTGCCACTCCAGTAACCCTTCTGGTGTCAAATGTAGGGTCCTCTGTTCCAGACAACCAGATTTCTGCAAACTGATTAAACTTTGTTTTAAAGCCAATTGTGATTATTGACCTGCTGTGATTATTGCCCTGCTGGCTTCTCTTTATTTGTTTAATTTTTTTTGCTATGGCCATTGAAGATCATTTGATTTTTTGAGAGATCAATAGAAAGCTTAAGGCAGGAAGCAACTCTGTGCCACTTATCAAGATGATGCAGATCAGATTATTTCCAGCTTTTATTTCATCTGAACTGTGGTTCCCTATGCAATTTCAGTGAAGGAAGTGTCAGTCATGTCAACGAGATAGATGAAGGGAAAAAGCCCCAACAACCACAAAAAGCAACCCAAAACCACAAAAAAGAGAGTCTGAACAGCAGCCTCAGTTTTGTGTAACATAAGCTCCCAAATAATTTTTAATAAATGAGTTTGCCCTTCCAAGTGCACACGTGCCCACTCACTTCCTCCACTTTCCTGCCATACATCTCAAAACTAAACTTCAGCTCTCCCCTGAAGTTGATCTCTGCTTTCCCCCCTTCTCCTTCCTGAACCTGGTGCAAACTCATGTTCCCATTGGGTATTTCTTATCCTTCAGCACCCAAAGAACATTAAAAAAAAAAAATAAGAAGAGCAGCCATGCCACACTCTCATCAGGACCTGCTGTGAGGCTGTTATCCACAAAATTCAGATTCATCTATGTGGTTTGCAATAGGCCAATAATTGCACACTTGATAGAGACATTGATTATTTACTTATTTTGGAGCTGCAGAAGCCTGGGTGCCTGGTGGTATTTCATAAATCAAGCGCAGCCCACTGGGCTTTCTATGCCATTACTTACACACAAAAATGTTGTGTTAGTAACCTCCCAAGTACTATTGGTAATAATTACCATACAATTACATAGTCCCACCAGACTCCTATGCATGCTCAGGGGAAGGATCTTCACCTAGACAGGGATCTTTTTGACCTGGAGGCGTGACTTTTAATATTGCAATGAAGGTAGTTAACATATATCCAGGTATGTTTATGAGGCACCTGGATCTGACACTGGATGATGTGGTTTTGTGGTTTAGGGGTTACAGTGATAGTGCTGAGTTAGACTGGCTCATCTTAAAGGTCTCTCCCAACACTGATTTTAGAATTCTGCAGGATGCATGGGCCTTAAACTTTTTGCCAAGTTGGCAATATATACATCAACACTTTGATTTACTTCATCCATAGAGCTTGTTTGCCACAGAATGTCCTTGACTAAGGTGTGCTAACCACTTACCTGGTTCTACTGACATACAGCATCTCGTTTTATTTTATGAAAGACAGGAAATCTAGGCTGGGTATTAGAAAGGAATTCCCTACTGTGAGGATGGTGAGGCACAGGAACAGGTTGCCCAGGGAAGTTGCCCATCCCTGGAAAGCGCTCAAGGCCAGGATGGATGGAGCTCTGAGCAACCTGCTCTGGCAGAAGGCATCCCTGGAACTACATCATCTCTAAGGCCACTCCAACCCCTTCACATTCCACGGTTCTGTTCACATTCCATGGTTCTCTGATCCTTGGGGCTTGCTGGCCACTATCTGTCCCACTGATAACTCTATCGCTGGTGTGAAAAACGCCAATCACTTGTTTTTAAAATTTTAAAAGTTTAATGGCAATAAAATGGTTATAAAAATAGCAATATAATTAGAATAATAAAAATTTTGGACAATTTGAATTAGGACAATATGAGACAATAGAAACACAGAGTTATGGACATCCGGGTACCTTTTTCTGGGCAGCATAAGCCTGAAAAAGGACACACATTAACAGAGAATTAACCCTTAAAAACAATAACCTGTTGCATATTCATACACCTCATACATGATGCATAAATTCCATTCAAACACAGGATTCTGTCTGGTCAGGGTCAGCTTCTTCCTCATAATCCTAATGGTGCTGTCCTACCTGAGCAAGGCAGGAAGAAGTTCGTTTCTCTTGATAATGGGGCAATAAATTCTCTTTCTCTGAAAGATTTAGGTGTCCTTGGCTGCTATCTGGCGCGAGTCCTTTCTTTAGGGAAAAAAAAAAAAAGTATCCTACATAGCATAGTTTCTATTTGAACATTTTCTTATCAACGAAAACTACATTTAACACACTACTTAAGAGAATTAATACAGCATCACTTTCTAACACAGCACATATACTATTCATTTTAATATTTGCGAAAAGCCAAATTATAAAATACGCATTTTTCGCAATGGAAAGGAGCAGACGAAGCTCAAACAGGGCAGCACGGCCCAAGCGCGGCGGGGCTGGAAGGCGCCGCCATGGCCGCCTCGTCATGGCCGCCCCGCCCCGGCCCGCGGCCCGCGCCGGCACCGCCCCGCTCGCCCTCATGAGGGGCCGCGCCGCTACCGCGTGCGGGTAGCGCGCTTCGGCGAGGCCATGGCTCGGCGCGGCGGCCACCGCAGCGCCTTTCTGTGGTTCGTGCACGACCAGCTGCCCGAGCTGGAGCGGCGCGGGCTGTCCGTGGCCTGTGTGGGGGACGCTGTCCCCCACTGCTCCCAGGCATGGGAGGTGAGGGCGGAATGCCGGCGGGGCCTTTCGCGGAGGGTGGGCTCGGCGCCATTTCAGGTGGCTGTGCCGTCCTCCCCTCAGCGCGGGGACTGCTCCGGTTCGTGTGCCGTGGGTGGGGTGGTGGTGGTGGCGGTGCCATCCCCGGCTGGCAGGAGGAGTTCCAGGAGGTCTCTTGTTTGTGGCTTGCCCTCACTCGGAGGTACTTCGCCTTCGCCTTGTTGTGTATTTCTAATAAAGGCTTATGGCGTTTTTAGGAAAAAAGCGCCTGGGAGTGTTTGAGTTAGTCTTGGCGGCCATCAGTAATGTCCTTTGGAAGGGCAGGAGTGATTTCTTACACACGGAGTTTGTTGGTTTGTGGGACTACTAGAAGGAAGTAGAGAAGAAGGTAGAAACCTTTTTGTAACAGCTGATTTTTCTTCAAGTCCCTGACAGAGGAAGAGAAGACGATGTATGCAGAGAAGGCTCGTACGTGGAATAGCAAGAAACGCTCTCAGAAGACAGTGAAGGTGGAAACACTTGATACCTCTTTGAACCATCACAGCCTGTTCCTTTGGGCTCTTGTACCAAGTAAAATGTAGTTCTCTAACACCCTAGCTTTATGTTTAACAGTATTTTGCAGTGCTTGACTTAATTTTATTTATTTTTTTTAATTTATACTGTAAATTGTAGTTACTTCTTGCCATAGGTTCATGTTGCTTTTGCTTTTTGGCTGTCATTGGTTTAGGTAGTTCTTGTCCGATGGCCTGAAAGCACGTCTTAGAAGCAGCTGATTTGCTTGTTCTGGAGGGGCTGTGTAGTGAACAGATCAATGAAGTGTTTTGGCCTATGCACAAATAGAATAATTACACCCTGCCATTATCTTTAGGTTGGTTGGATGTGGGAGAGTAGTAACAGTGTTGTGGAGAACAATACAGAAGTAGGTAGTTGGGTTGAGTGTGTATGGTTGTGTCTGAAATGGTGCTAAACATAAGATAATTTCTGCTATTTACTGCCTTGAAAAGGTGTTTGTCCCGTTTGTTTGTTTCTGTTTCTTTTCCTTTCCCAGCAGTTCTCTGAAGCAGAGTTACTTAAGAGTTTGAATTATGTGAGGTGTCAGCTTATTTTATTTCATTTCAGTCTTTGTTGGTAGTGTAAAAACTTGTGTGTCCAAGGAAAGAAAGACACATTTACCCTCTGAGTAAATGGATAATACTGCATTTACTTCTTAATGCTCTGTTACTAGATAATGACTGCGAACTATGAATTAATGGTGAGGATAAATTCCAGGACTTCAAAACACTTACATGGTGATAGAGGGAATGGCAGGATGATTGTAGTTTGCAGTAACTAGTAAAAATGGATTAGTTAAATTAGTCTAGAGTAGAAGGGAGGTGTTAGGCAATGTTTTCTGATTTTGGGGGCCTGCATGTCTGGGAAAAAGCTGTTTAAAATGTGATCATCCTTGTGTCGTGTATCAGGCTGAGTGTGTGTAATTAATGGAACTCCATTTTTATATGCCAGAGAGAACTAAGTGAAACGGCAGGAAAGTCACAAATGGAGGCTTCTGTGTTTCCTTCCACAAGTTGTAGCATTTTAGAAGATTGTGAACAGAGAGAGGAACAAATAGTTGCTTTACCGGAGTAAAGCTCACCATCCTTACTGTATCAGGGGAAATATGGATATATGAGATTATGTGCTCTTGTTTTATTCATCCCAGCCTTGTACACACACAGCCACGGTCACTTTGTGTAGTGAAAGTCCATGTTCCTCTTTTGGAGGTGGCCAGAGCTTGCTTAGATGGGAATAATTCCTCATTTTGTTTTAAACAGTTCAAACTGATAATTAACTTTGGCTGAGATGGTTATCTGCAATCAGTGTGCCTGGGTGTGGATGTTATTCCCAATTTGGGTTTGAGTGATCAGATGCTGTAAGGCTGCCAGGTTTCTTTTCCCGTCCTATTAAAAGCTTATTGTTCATGAATGGATTTTCAGAGCAATCCAATGACTTCCTTAAGGCTTTATCAGCTTTTCATGAACCTGTTTCCTAGTCAAAGGCAACTAACACATGTGCCAGGTGCTTTTTTCATAAAACTTACAGAGAAAAGTTATAAATTCCAGTTTGAAGAGTTCCTTGCCTGTGGCAAGAGGTTGAATTTAAGAAAATACTTCTTTTTTTCTTTGTATTACGTTTTGTAAGTTTAGCTGTAGTTCTTCAAAGCAGTAATGGGCTGACAAAGGTACTGAAGAGAAATCTTGCTTTCCTGGCCTGCAAGTATACAGGCACTTTTATATATAAAACTTTTCCACCTAACCCCAGCTATTAGTGGATATTGCATTTTCCTCTGATATAAGGAGCTGAAGGACTTTATTTGGGGCAAGAAGACTTTTGTTGTTGTTGGTTTGGTTGTTTTTTTTTTTTTAACTTTCTCATCTTTTCCAGACTTGTAAGGTGCCTGATCCAGTTCCTGCTCCTCTGACCACAAAGATGCCCAGTGTTACTCCTCTGCCAGATGCCTCTGCTCTGTCTTGGAAGAATGATCAGGGTATAGTGATTTTAAAGCAGTTGGTCCTGGTAGATGAGAGCTTGCCCTTTGAGGATATTCTCAGTGGTACCTGTACAAAGACTGTTTACATTTTGCTGAAAGCCATCTGTGTCAGATATTTTACACTACTGGGCTACTGCTGTAAAAGGTAGAGGGAGATCAGGGAAAATACCATTCCCCCCAACCTCCAACAATTCTATCCTCTGTTTTTTAGCTCAATGGGAGTATAGCCACTAACAGTTTCTTAACAGTTTTTTCAAGGTTTTTAAGGAAAAGGTAATTTTTCAAGTCCTACATTTATGAATTGACAAGGCATAATCCAAGTTCAGCATAAAAGAATACTTGTATTGATTTCAAAGGGTTAAGAATTGCTAGATATCAATGTTCAAAATTGGTAAGATAGAGGTATTAAATAAAACAAGGGCCTGGCCTAATTGGGAGAATAAAAGAGGGAATATGCACTTTATAACATCCTGACTTGCTTCCTTATTGAAAGAACTCTCAAAAACTAAACCTTTCTAACCTGTACCCTGTCTTCAAATGGTTGTTCCAATTTGAGTTGGGTAGTGAACACATTTGTAATCTTCTACCCAATGAATATTACATTATTCTGAAAAATAATAAAAAGGTAGTGCTTACAAGGTAAGTCAAGAAGCCAGTTCATATCAGCTATGTGGTTAAGTCTAAAAAGCTCCAGCTTTTTACTTCACTCTCTTGAACTGTTTTCATGTTGCCATGGTTATGGGAGAAGCAAGAAACAGTAGCTCCATAAAAAGTGAAATGCTTATTAGTGCCCTCCGTGCCAGGGGTCATGCTCCCCTGTCATTGTGATGCAGATTTGATTGGGCTGATCATGCTGGCTGGCTTGAGTTGGCACAGTCATCTTTTAGCTGAATGAGAGGCATAATGATAAAGGATAATTGAGATACACTTCATGATGCTGCTCTTAATATTTCCCAGTTCAAGTTCTGTATGGTTCCCTGGAGCTGTATCCATTTTTTCATAAGGTAGGAGAGGTGTCTTTCCTGTGACCCCTGAGCTCGTACAGTTTAAGACCCACATAAGGGAGCATGGCCCTTCAGGCTTAGGGCAACAGGTGTTAAATGTCTTAAAGACTGGCATACAAAATTATTTATGTGTGAAGACAGTTACACATCTCTAGTAGAGCAAGTAGGACTCTTTTGATGAGGGGCAGTAGTTAAGAGTAAGGATTAAATAGCTGTGTTAAACTTCACGGAGGACATTGTGACGGTCATGAAGAGAGGGATTAAGGTGTATTGTAAAATATTTGTCATAGTTGGATACTTTTTAATTAGTAAATGATAAACCTGTTCCTTAACATTTATGTTGGGTATTCTTGCCACTTTCTTTGGGAGCTCATTTGGTGGAAAAGCAATCCTTTTAATTAGCAGACTTCTCATCTTCTTGCCCCACAGGATTACTACCAACTCGTTTAAGTGGTGTCAGCTGCCAAATTTAGCTTGTGAGACTGTTTTGCAGCTACTGATTTGGTGTTTCCCTAACCTTATTTTATGAAAGAGCCAAGAGACCTATCCTTAAAAAGAACAACAGTTCCTGTTGGATTGCAGGCCTCTTAACATTATGTGGGTTTAGTTGCTTGTATTTTTTGGTTTTTTTGCCCCACCTCTACACACAGTAGGATCTCTGGAAGGTGTCCAATGTGCCTGAATTCTACATAAGTGTTGTCATCTTTGATACAGAGAAAGAGCTGTGGGTTTTGCTCGGTTGTTACTCTTCACTCAGTCACAGGAGAAATTTCAGCAAAGCTTTCCCTTGATGAGGGTAGACCAGCATGGCTTCTGTAACCTCTGATGGCTTGTCTGAAGATGGTTTTGTTCTTTTTCTTTTAGATATGGTTGCAGACATCTTCTACTTCCTGGACATTTACAGCTATGGGAAGCTGCCACCCCACTGCGAGCAGCGCTTCCTTCCCTGTGAGATTGGGTGTGTCAGGTACTCCCTGCAAGATGGCATCCTGGCTGATTTCCACCACTTCATAGATCCAGGTGAGTTCCAGGAAACTCAGAAGTACTGGGGTGAGAGGGAGGCTTTCTGGGGTCACTGCTGCCCAGGTTGCACTTCTGATATTAAGACAAGTTTATTTCTTTGATTATAAATGGTCAGACTTCTTAAAATATCAGAGCAGTCCTGAGCTTGTTTCTGAGGAGAATTAGTGTCAGAACTTCATGTAACTCCAAAGAGGGTAGGCTAAACGCAGGAGGACTTGCACATGTTTGTGCTTTATGTTTCATGTCAATGAATGCTTTCTCTTAGTTGGACCTAAACACAATCACAATGCACTTTGTGTTTTAAAATGTATTGAACTGAAAATAACTTTTCCAAAAATAGTTGTGGCATGTTCACAAGGCCACAAGGGAAGTTGCTGTTCCTTTCTGCATATGGAACTTTGAGTTAAGGATCTGTTGTTGGTGGTGTTGGATGATGATTGTGCTTTCTCCTCTTTTTTGCAGAAGTACCACCACGTGGTTTTCGGTACCACTGCCAGGCTGCTGGTGAGTATTAATGGAGAAAAAGAATGGTGTGCAGTTTTAGACACAGCTTATCTGACCTCTGTCCAAATGTTTTGTAGGTCTTGATAGTCTCTGTGTGTATCTTCAGCATGAAGTGCTGATTAACAACAGGGTAACTCAAAAGATACTACTTTAAAAGTTATGTTCAGCAGCTTGGCATATATTAACAAAATTAAAATACCTGCACCATTGTTGTGTCTGCCTGTTTCCTTTGTGACTCTCAGTAGTGTTTATAGACTCCAGTTTGTTTCTATTAGGACACTTCCTCTCCTTGTGTACAGAGGGAGCAAACTTGGCCTGTGTACATCTAATACTTGGATAATGGCCTTTTAAAAGGGGCAGGAGTGTGTGTGTTTGCTCACAGCCCAGAGCTGCTGACAGAAGCAAGGTTTTGGTAGCTTAAACACAGACCCTGTCTGTGGAGAGGAGTGTGTGTGTTTGTGTGCATATATATGTATACAGAAAGGTAAAAAGGAGGAGGGAACTGTAGCTCTTAAGGAAACTGGACTTCTCACAATTTTGTGGCTTTTTGTTGTTGTTTATTTGTTTTTCCCCTGTCCCTCTTGCCCCTCCATTAGGTGATGAAACCCATAAGATCCCCATATCTGGATTTCACCTTCCTCGTTCTTGTTACGCCGTTGTCCTGCAGGAACTCATTGAGTTTGCCCAGCCAGCCGGGGGTGCTCAGCCTCGCTTCTTCTGCAGGGTATGGCCAAGGTCAAAGCTCTGAATCTCCACTTCTGCTTTCACTCCTGTTGGACGACTAAAGAGATACATGCACACTGATTAGGTTTTAGAGTAAACTAAGTGGGGAAAGACACTTTTTCCAGACTGTCCCAGTTCCTTTCAGGAAGAAACGGCCTCTAGAAGCCAACCTTTTTATAAAGCAGAGACCTAATTTTCTGCCTTTTTATTTTCAGCCTGCACTTCTGGCTCTAATCTACTGATGAACAGGGTCTTTTGTTCTCTGACATTGTTATGACTTTGGTTAAGGGCTCCTAAGATTTGACTTAAATTGGATGTGCTCAATAATAGTCAGAAATCCTGCTTTTTTGAAAGGATATTTTTACGTTTTCGTGACTCTTTTCCCCATGAGAATTACACGTGTCTTAAATTTTTGCTCAAGTTTCATTTTTCCAGGCAACAGAACAAAATGTTAGGATTCAGAGGTGTTTAAATTTCATAACAGGTCTATTATGTTTCAATTCAATTCAAACCTAATGTTAATCCTTAAAAAGCAGGGAGGGACAAGATACTGGGTTCCATCCATAAATACAGGGCTCTGAAGAAGTATGCATGAAATTTGGGTCCTCTTCAAGATAGTCGTCAGGGGAATTGCATTCAGTGCCACAAACAATTTGGTTTGGAGGTGGCTTTTTCAGACCTGGACAGAAGTCATGGAAGTGTCAGAATTCTGTACTGTACTCCTTTGAGATGACAGAAATCTTCTTTCCTCCAGTCTAATGACAGATTCCGAATCAACTGGTGTCTTGGTCGAATGGCCAGCATAACAGGTAGGGAATGGATAATTTTTGTCCATCCTTTTCCCCTTCCAGAAATAAGGGCTGTGTAATCATGGACAGCTGTATTTGTCTGAAAAGCATGTCTCAAAAGTTTTCATAAAAACTGGTTCTGATAGCTAGAACTCCTTTGCATGCTCCTTCCTCTTCCTTTGTCCCACCACTTTCTAGGAAGTCAGGTTTTATTAAAACCACTGGTGGAATATCTTTGAGCTTTGGTGCTGTGATAAAGAGCTGGGCAGTGAACAGGGACTGACTGAGAAATGAGCTGAGCAGGGGATCCAGTGACTCCTGTTCTCCTGGCCTGGATTTTCACTGAACTGTAGGCATTGGGAGCCACTGGGAGCTTTTTGCAGTAGAAGACCTGCTAATGAAACTGTACCAGAAGAAATACCAAAAGGAGCCATCCAACGTCTGGGTGTATAGAAAACTGGATGTCTGCCTGTGGGATTTCTCCAGTAATACCAGGTGTGTTGGGTGGTTCTTTGTGTAGATGTGCCTGCTTTCAGATTTTCTGTGTTGGTACAAAAAGTGATACTTGCTTGCAGTGCTGCAGGAGCATATTGGGTGATTATGCAGTTAATTTAGAAATAGATTCTAGTGCTTCCTCTGCTACTAATTTAAGAAAAGAACCAATAATATGATCTTAAATTTCAGTAGATTTTAAAAAACTATGTCAATTATTCTTGTAAGTCTGGTTGGAATATGGATTTTAAGAACCGTTGGGTTCATCTTTGTCTTTATAGCCAGGCGGTTTTGTGTTCCCATGAGTGTCTTCACCCTAGAGGGGGAGCTTAGGGAGGATGGAGGAATGTACTCGAAAAGACAGGTTTGGAGAGGAAAGTGAGGGTGTTTATGCTAGGAGGAACTATTTCACATTAATGGGAAGCTTGAAATGGTTCAAATGGTTTAAATTCCATTTGTCTCTTAGGGTTCTCTTTTCTCCCTGCCCCCCACCTCACCATGAAGTAGATTTCATGATAAGCAGACCTTTAAACTCTGCATAAACTACTTAGGGCAAAGCTATTGAACTCTGTGAAATTTTAAAGGTACTGCATGATCTCTGCAACAAAAAGATACCATTTTTAATATTTGTTCCTGTTCATCTGGCCAGACCGACTGTTCTTGTTGATGAACAATGTAGGTGCTTCTGAAATAAGCCTAAACTTCATTTCATGTAGGTGCAAGTGGCATGAGGAGAATGATATAATCTGCTGTGCTCTGGCATCCTGTAAGAAAATGGGGTGAGTGTTGCTTGAGGAGTTGACTCCAGAATGATGGCTTTTATTTTGTTAGCATTGCAATGCTGAGAAAAGTGTTAATTACATTAGAATTCACTGTTTGACTTCAGAGGTATTCTCATTATGCTCTGGCATATCTCTACTTTGGAAACTTCTGTGCTGCCTGACATAGAATGTAGATGCATAAGGTTCTGTAATCTTTTTGGTGGGGAGAAAGGAAAAGTAAATAGTTTGGAAATGAGGAAATGCCCTTTATGGTCTCTGATGGCAGCAGTAGTAGCACGTAGAGAGGCAATAATAAATAGTTTTCATTCAAAATACTCATCATGGACTGCTATGACCTGAAAAAAAAAAAAAAGTTGCTTTTCACACTTCTAAGTGCTGCATTTGATAACGTGGGGAAGCAGTTTGTTTTCATTTCATGTGTAGTTGTACAACAGACTGGTGGTCTTGGAAGGATGCAGGGATGCTGGCAGAAAGTCCTGCCCTGTGGTATCTGTTCTGTGCATCTCAGGCTTTGGCTGTTTTTGTTCACCAGCTGAAGAACATAAAATGCTGTGCTTCCACACATCAGCATTCAAACCCTTAGCCAGACCTTTCTTGTTTGCCTTTTTTTCTTGGTCAAGTTACTGCATCAGTAAATCCTTTGCTGGTGTGTATGGAGTCCCACTAACAGCAGCTCACCTTCCTCTGCAAGACTCTGATTGTGATCAAGGCACAAATACCAGGATTGTAAAACTGGATGCTGGATGTACCCAGGTCAGATTTTTTCAATTGATACCCTGATTTATTTTCAGTTGCCAATTTCACATGAACTGTTTTGTCTTTGGATGCTGTCCTTTGTGACATATATTGGGCAGACTGATGAACTTGCAGGGTTTTGACCATGATCCATAGGTCTGATGGATAGTGGTGTATATTTCATGTTAGCAGATACATGTACCTTATTTTGAATATTTATATTTTCATACAGAAAATGAAAGCTGAAAGTTCTGGATGCAACAAACCTTGGGGTTCTCCAAGACAGGATCAAGAGTTTGTTCCTTCTAATTGTGAGTTTGAAGCTTCCACATTTTTTTAGTGGGAACTTAATCCAGTTGTTACTTTTTCAAATTTCTGGGCTTAGATGTTGCCTGGAAGTGGTGCACAGCTCACACACTGAAGGCTCAAGCAGGAAGAGCTGGCCTCTTCTTACTGGACAGAATCTTAGGGTCAGAAACATCTCTCAAAATGCAATTTTTCTTAAAAATGTTGCTCTCTGATTTATGCTTTTCTGTTACCTGAAGGCATTCCCATGCCCAGGTGCTTTGAGGCAGGGCCATGTTTAAAACACTCTCCATGTTCCTAAATCATTGCATGTACAGACCGAGCTGGTCCTTGTTCCAAGTGTTGTGTCACAACTCAGTTAAAAGACTGCTCTTTTAAAGTTTCTACTTGCAGAAAGGTTTTTATTTTTACTAGAAGGCCTCTGAGCCCAGTTCATTTGGGCATTTCGTGGCTAACCTTCAGAGGAATAGGTTTGCAAAATAAATAAGAATTCTGAGTTTGCAGCTTGATATCTTATGCCTAAGATCCATGCTGAGTTAAACTCTGTTCCACCTGGAAATCATGATCTTATGGTCTTGCTGTTTGTGGAGGACACAACCTGCCTGACTTTTTTAATCAGAGCTGTGGAATAGGTTCAGCTCCACAGCATGAAGAACAATTCCATTAATTTATGCAAGCTTTAAGGGCTGATTTGATGTGCAAACTGTATTTAATTTATTAGGTGATTCTCCATGTGGTGTGAAGACCTCCCCTTGTGGAACAAGTGCTGTACAAGGAAGAGGAGTTATTCGATTGCTGAGAAGTGCATCTGATCTATCCAAGTCTTTCAGTAATTGAAAATCTCTTTCACATCCAGGACAGCTGTAAATTCTAATTGTCTTTGTTTCCCTAAGATAACTAGTAGTTTCTCCAGACTGCAGTTTTTCATCTTCTGTGCAAACCTTGACAGTTGAAGTTCTTGTTTGAATGATAAAACTATTGAGTGGATTTAAAGAATCTTGTTCATTATCTACAGGAAGACTTATTTCGAAGGGACCTCACAGTCACATCTTTAAAACTGCATGCTGTACTAGTTATATTTCTTAATGAATAGAGTGCAAATTCGAGATTGATTAATCAATATAATTGAATTAGAAGAATTCTTTAGTGACCAGTGTGTAAACAACTTAAACTTTTTGCTTTATTTCTTTTTTTAATAGCCTTCCCATCTTCTGCATGTGGAAGATGGACTGTGTGTAACAGTCTTGCTTCAAAACTGATGCAGGGGAGAAAGTATTGAAGGTATGAGGGGCTGCCCTAGGGGAATTAATTAAAAGTCAGTAGTCCCAAAAGTTTGCTGTAATACATCAGTTTTAGCCATGAAAAATTTGAGTGGTCTTTCAAGGCAAAAAAGCACATTTTATGTAAAATGTCTTGAAAGAAATACTGTGGCAAATTTATCTATCTGTTAATGTTCTTAGAGGCACAGGCTGTATTATATACATCAGGGACAAGTACTGCATAGATTTTTTTTGTTTGCATCAGTTTTCATTTTAAGAAATGCATGTCCCTCAAACTTTAGAGACTGAAGAGAAGTGTAGGTGTTACAGGGTTGATTTGGTTTTGGTCTTTTGATGGTCTTTTTTGGAAAGAGTATCAAATTCAAACTGATATATTTCACAAGAGTTTATTCAGGCTGGGTAGATACCAGTCATAATTATTTGGGGGCACATAACAAATGGAACACTATCTTGGCATTTTCTAGGGAAGTTAGATGTTCCTTTTTATGGAGGTACTGCTTGGACTACTCCCCAAAAGGTTGTCTGAGCCTTGTGCTTAGTCCATGTATCTCCTAAGAAGTGATTCTGAGAAATAAGAGCTTATTTTGTTAAGTTGTTCCTAGATTTTGTACCAACAGATGTCCAGTTTTGAAATACTATTTCCATAGCAACTAACTGTGTGAAGATTTCATTCCTTGGTAGGTACTGAAACTCAAAATGAGGTGGTTTGTTCCCTTGAATAAGGAAAAAACACAACAAAACAAATGCAGGCAAAACCCAAAATGCAGCCAAAATAAGAGGTTTATTTGAGCATGCTGATCAGTGTGTCCGAAAAGGCCAAGTGCTGGTTTAGTTGGAAACCTGTTACAGTTGCTGTAAGGCCAGTTGAACCCTTTCTTCCAGTGTTTTAGCATCACTGAAGCATTTCTATTCTTACCCAGCTGTTCACCTTTATCACTGAATTTCCTCAATTGATTCTGTATTTCCTTTCTTGGAGGCTGCTGTCCTACCTGCTGATATTCACCAAATAAGGGACATTAAAGCTGTAAGGCTGAAATTTACCAATGAAGCACCTGGGAATGTTGTAACTGACTGACAGTGTCTATCAAGTAGTGCTAAAGGCTTTTCTGCTTTTGTGTAGACTTGTCCAGGTTCCTTAACTGACAGCCACTGCTGCATTGATATTTCATAGTGTACAGAACTATTGTTTTTGAAGTATTTCCAGAGTTCACTGTTGGAATAAAAGTTTGTTTCAGTTCTTATGTAGGAGAGAATTTATTAAAAGTTGTTGTTAAAACTTATTCAGTGTTAAGTACATAAACCTAAGAACGTTTTTTTACTAAGCTTAATGTAATGCATGTCAAGAGTGAGATAAAGAATATGAGCAGAAGTGGGAAAATGCCATTAGGATTCTGTGGCATATCTGTACCTTACCACCTGTAAATTAAAATAGCACATAAGATGGTGAAGATCTAATTATATGCTGTAGGCAGTGGGCTGTTAACTGGGGCAGTAACTGTCTTACTGTAATAACCAACAACTCTAGAGGGGGTTTTTTGTAGTGGAAATCATAAGATCTGTGCCATTAGAATGAATACACTAACTTAAAGTAGCCCATTTCATACTGTTAGTCTGCATTTATTGAGGGGGAGCCCTAACAGCTGTTGAAGGATGATAGAAAATGCTTTTGTTTGGGAGCTCTGCTTCCTTGACTGTTCTGCAATTTGCAGCTCTTGATTTCTGGAAGAACAAATTCTGAAAAACAAGCACAGTATAGTAGTGCTTCTCTCCTGTAAGTAAGTAAAGATGAGGGTTTGCAACCTTAGCCCACTTTCTAAGTGCAAGGAGTCGTACTGGTAAGGCACAGGGTGTGTCAAAATCAGGCCAAAGTTCTCACTACTTGCATGACAAAATTCTGAAGGGGACACAAAACCGAGACAGGGCAGAATGGCTCTTGAGCAGAGTTTGAGTGGTGCTGCCTGGGAGCTCTAAACATGCACCTTCCACAGGATGAAACCTAATGATGACAACGCTCTGCATGTGGTGTTTGGTAGCACATCTGGTGAACTGGCTAAAGAGCTGGTTTTGTAGCTGATAGATTCTATCAGACCTGACTTTGTGCCCTCCTGTTACTGCAGCTGACTCTCTCCTGTGACAGGAATGAGTAAAAAGTCATCCTGGTTTAACACACACATTGCAGAGTTATTAGGTATTTTTGCTCTTGTTATAATAGTAGTGGACAAGTGGTTAATTGTACCTTGCTACTCTGAAGGTTTTGGCCAGAACAGTTGTCTGAGGATCATGGAAACAATGCAGTGACTGCAGTGACAGCTCTGCTGATCTAGTCTCCATCATTGACCTGTAATCATTTTATATTCTGTTTAGGGTATGTTAACATAGGGTAAGCAGCAGTTGCTGCTGCTTCTAATTTAAGTGTTGCTTATGCATTGCTGGTTTGTCCACCTTCTCCTTCCAATAAACTGCAGGACCTAGGGATGTGTCAGAAGTTCCAGCATTCTCTCAGAAGCACACATACATACTGTAGATACAGCAAAACCTGGTTTTGACATCTTTAACTTGAATTTTGCTTTGGAAGGCTGATTTTACTGTTAGAACTCAAGGTGAATGTGGCCTTAGCCTTGTCGTTCATGACCAGCTGCCCATTCCCACTCAGATGCACCCACAGCAAGTCCTTCTTTTTGCCCTCCATGTGCTTCACCAGATGCAGCTTTGGGTGTGCTTTGGCTTTCCTATCCCCATACCTGCACAAACACAGCACCTCTATGTTTCTCCCAGGCACTTGTCTCCTGTGTGTTTCTTTTTCAGGGGTGTGTTCTGTCAGGGGCTCTATGGTCAGCCTCTGCTTGCTTTGCTGTTTTTGCCTTTAGGAGGAGGTGATACTTGAAAAATCACCAGGCTCACCTGGACTTCTTTCCAGCACTGCATGCCACAGGAGTCTTCCAAGTGGAAGACTCTGAACAAGGCCAAGGACTGCTCTCCTGAGCTCCAGGGCTGTGATGCTGCTTTTTGCTGTTTTCCTCCCTCTTTGCATCCCCAACTCCACTATCTTGTGGTTCCTGAAGCTAAATTTGCCTCTTGGCTTTCATATCCCTGAGCAGTTATTTCTTGTCCATAAGGATGAGATCCAGCAGGGACCACCTTGGCTCTTTGGTCACCTCTGAGTGTCAGGCTCCTCACAGGTGTCTGAAGAAGGCCTTGAGAGCTTCCCTTTGGCAGGGCTGTCTGCAGGAGATATCCTCTCTGGGCCTGTCCTCTGTGTCCAACCCAAGAGCTTCAACTGGCTCACTGTCTGTTCCCAGGTGGAGCTCTGCATTCCCGCTGCTCCCTCACATGGACAGCAGCTCTCCCTCTCACCTCCCAAGTGTGAGAAAAGAAGCTGGCAGTGTGTGATGTGTGGGAAGGGAAGCCACACTACCTCTTGATGTCTGGTGCCAATTCTGGGGTCTGCATTATAACTGCTATGTTATCAGAGAGTGTTTGCTGTGTCTAAGGTAAGATAAATCTTTATTGCATCCTTTGCAATGTGTCACTCATCCAGATCCTAAAAGATAGAAACAAGGCAGCAGTTTGGTGGGGATTTTCTGTGTGGAGAATCTGTCAGGTGTCAGGCTGGAGGAAGCAGTGCTGTGATCCTGGATAACAGCAACAGCTGATACTCATTCCATGGGGTGTGTCCTGTGCCAGCTGCCTAGAGTGAGGTCCATGCTGAGTCATTCCCCATTGGGAAACTTGCTGCCATTTCAGGGATTCTGGCTCTTGAGCTGTTACAGTCAACTGGTGATGTGCTGAAGGTCAGATTCTTCTGAATAAGTACTTGTTTTGGGTGAATGAAAACCTCTATTCTAGGAAACCCTGTTTTGATTTTCTTGTAAAATAGTTGTATTTTTCTTTATTGATAAGTTTTTAAAAAACCTGCGTAATTCTCATAGAGCGGCTGTGCTTTTGGACCTGTTAGTTGAATTAAAAAGTTCTAACCCTTTCTGCTAGCAAGGATTTCAGACTTTGCCCAAAAGTGAAGTCAGTCAAGTGTATGTGTGAAACTGAGTTTATTTTCTGGTTGATAAATAGAAGCAGCTGCAGCTGACTGCAAAGACTTTAACAACATCATTCCTTTTGGCAGAGTAAATGTTCTGTGGTGGAGCAGGAGAAAAACAAGTTTGTTATCTAGTTTCTGCCCTCCTGATGACTTCTGCAGGATTATCATCCCTCACTGTCACCCCAGAGTGCCCAGCCAATAAATTTTATTGCAATGATTTAGTAAAATGAAGAAATTGGCAAACACTTCTGTTAATCTAACCCTGAATTTACTCTGTTTGCTCACTTTTCCGTGGTTCTGTCTTAGAGGTTCCCATTAAACTTCTCTGCCATTTTCAAATAATTCCCTTCAATCCCTAGTGAACAGGTGAAGTGCTGCAGAAGTTACAAATTCCCTTCTGTTGGGCTGCAATAATTTTAGTAGAGCTCTAACACGTCCAGAATTAATCTTGGAGGTTGATCATTGTATTGTGAACTTCATCAGGCAGAACCTTGCCTCGGTGTCTTTCCTGGAACACTTGGTACAAATAAACAGAAAAGGAGTGCAGTTGCTCTAGCAACAGGGATGCTGAGATAATTAACTCCT